TGCTGCCAGTCTCTTTGCTAAAGCATGGTAAAAGTGACCCTTATTCCAACTTCCAATAAGTTCTTTATCTCCACCTGAGACCTCCTCAGCCTGGACTTCACTGTCCCTCCTCCAACACTGGGGATTGCAATTTGATGTGAGATTTGGGAGGGGACACAGATCCAAACCATATCAGTGGGGGAAGAACACCAAGGTGAATGGTGCTGGGAACACTGACAAGCCATATGTAGAAGAATGAAACTGGATTCTCATCTCATCATATTAAAAAATCAACTCAAGGTGGATCAAAGACTTAAATCTAAGACGTGGAGCCATTCGAATTCAAGAAGATAACATTTGAAAAACTCTTCTAGACACTGGCTTAGGCAAAGAATTCATGACTAAGAACCCAAAAGCAAATGCAACAAAGATAAGTAAATGAGACCTAACTAAACTAAAAATCTTCTGTACAGTAAAAGAAATGATCAGCAGAATAAACAGACCACTCACAGAGTGGGAAAAAAAAACTTACAAACTATGCATCGACAAAAGACTAATATCGAGAATATACAAAGAACTCAAACAAATCAGCAGGAAAAAAAAAAAAAACAAACAATCCCATTGACAAATGGGCTAAAGACATGAATAGAGAATTCTCAAGAGAAGATATACAAATGGCCAAACAACACATGAAAAAATGCTCAGCATCACTAATCATTATGGAAATGCAAATCAAAACCACAATGCAATATCACCTCACTCCTGCAAGAATGGTCATAATAAACAACCAACCAATCAACCCACCCACCCACCAACCAACCAACCAACCAAACAAACAAAAAACAGTAGATGTTGGCATGGATGCAGTGATGAGGGAACACTTCTATACTGATGGTGGGAATGTAAATAAGTATAGTTGCTATGGAAAACGGTGTGGAGATTCTTTAAAGAACTAAAAGTAGAACTACAATTTGATCCAGCAATCCCACTACTGGGTATCTACCCAGAGGAAAAGAAGTCAATATTCAAACGGGATCCTTGCACACGCATGTTTATTGTGGCACAATTTATAGTAGCAAAATCATGGAACCAATACAAATGCCCATCAATCAATGAGTGGATAAAGAAACTGTGAGATATCTATCTATCTATATATAGGATTTATATGTGTATATATACGTATGTGTATATAACGTATATATACACATACATATATGTATATATGTGTATATTATGTATATATGTGTATATATACACATATACATATATGTGTGTGTGTGTATATATATATGTGTGTATGTGTATATGTATATACACCCATGGATCAATAAGTGGAGAAAGAACATGGGGTAAATATGCACCATGGAACACTACTCAACTGTAAAGCAGAATGAAATAATGGCCATTGCAGCAAGTTGGATACAACTGGAGGTCATTATTCTAAGTAAAGCAACTCAGGAATAAAAACTCAGATGCTGTATGTTCTCATTCATAAGTGGGAGCTAAAGCATGAGGATGCAAAGGCATTAAAATGATATAATGAACTTTGGAGACTCGAAGGAAGGGTGGGAGGGGTGACAGATAAAATGTTACATATTGGGTACGGTGTACACTGCTTAGGTGATGGGTGCAGCAAAGTCTCAAAAATCACCACTAAAGAATGTAACCATGTAATCAAAAACCACCTGGATCCCACAAATTATTGAAACAAAAATACATATAAATATTAGAATACAAATTATTCTACCATAAAGACACATGCACACGAGTGTTCACTGCAGCACTGTTCACAATAGCAAAGACATGGAATCAACCTAAATGTTCATTAATGACTGACTGAATACAGAAAATGTGGTACATATACACCATGGAATACCATGTAGCCATAAAAAGAACAAGGTCATGTCTTTTGCGGGAACATAGGTGGAGCTAGAGGCCATTATCCTTAGCAAACTAATGCAGGGCCAGAAAAAAAATACTGTATGTTCTCACTTATAAGTGGGAGCTAAATGATGAGAACTCATAAATACAAAGAAGGGAACAACACAAACAGGGGTCTACTTGAGAGTGGAGGGTGGGAAAAGAGAGAAGAGCAGAAAAAATAACTATTGGGTACTTTGTTTAGTACCTGGGTGATGAAATAATCTGTGCAACTAACACCCATGACAAGGGATTTACCTATATAACAAATTTGCACATGTACACTTGAACTTAAAATAAAAATAATAAAAATAAATTGAGGAAAAATTTTTAAATTTCTCTTTTATTCCAACTTCTTGGCCCCTCACTTGCAAATAGAGGCCCACATACACCAATGTTTAGTAGTACCACAGATGGCATCCCAGAGGAATAGCAATGCTGTGGGAATTGGACATCAAGGGCAATATTATCACAGAGTATATTTATTCTTTAGGAGCTTTAGCAATAACTGGGAAGACCAAAAGATCTTTGAGATGAGGAAGCTTTAGAGTTCAGAAATGGCTTTCTCCTTCTTGAGCAATGCCCTATTTGCTGGGAGAAGATCATGAATTTGGATTGAGCAGGATGAAGAAAGATGTTGAATAGGTTTCCAGAGGCAATTAAAAAATTGTTAGTTTGAACGTTGGCCCTGGACTCTATGTCATCTCTTTGTATCTGAGATATCATTCCTGGCTACCATGAGCACAGAGTAGTAGCTGAATAAAAATGAATGTAATGAATGGCCCATAGGAAGTGCACTGAGCTGGTGAATATCATTCAAGAAAGGGCAGTCACTGTGTGTTTGCCTAACAGGGCTGGAATTTAGGTCTCTGTTGGTTATTCAAATAAAATGGATGCCAGGTAAGCAGCAAGTAGATATAAACTCCAAGTCATTTTCTGCTCAGGAAGCCAGGGGTTCCAGGATAGGTTTCATCCTCTCAGAGCACAAACTGTATAATTCCACAAGAAATGAATTCCATGCTGGTGATAGGGTCTATGATCCATTATCAAAAAGAGAAGTGATCAAGACTGTGACAGGGAAGGTGTAATGAGGAGAGTGTACCTCATCAGAACACAAGAGTTTCCAGTGAGAGGGCAGGGAATTTTATTCCATCCTGGAATGGAACAAGGAAGAGAGGCATGAAGAGTGTCATTCACTGTGCGTTGGCACCTCAGAGTGTCTGGATGTTCGGTTAAATGAGGGGTGAGGAGAGAGGCATACCCATGAGAGAGGCTGGAGTTGCAGAAACTGTTGCAATGAACATGGGGAGAGAAAATGACACCTGAGATGGTTCTTGCAAACAAAGAGGCTATTTGGTGGGACTCTCTTCATTCTGGTTTCATTGATTTTTAGGTGATATATTGTTTCTCTTCTTGTAAGTGGTTTTTCATACATGCTATGCGGTAGATAATCACAGCTCTTGTAGTGGGAAAAGGGCTGTCATTCTACCATCTTGGTAGGAACTCCAGAAGCTGAGAATGGAGGGTGAGGACAAGTGCTACAGAGAAACATTCCCGGAGAAAATGAAAATAGGTGTCTGGTTGGTTTCAGTAAAAATATGGACTGCTGTCTATTTCATTTTGCCCCTCTAAAATATATGTGTTGACTGCATTTTTCCTGTCTCTTTCAGTCTTCTTCGATTTGTATAAAGCAGATTTTGTGTCCCTTTGGTGCACATGTTGTGGGAGATTGCAAGTGATAATTTGTAGTCACATCACAGACACCACATCCTGATCAGATAAGATATTGCCCTTTACTCTGAGCCTGTTTTTATAATTGTAATGTCAGAGATTTCTTACAGGGTTAGTGTTTTTGGTATGCAGGAAGTAGTTGTGGGTGGAACTAGTTGCCAAAGATGGCTCCTCATGACTACAGTCACAATAACCACAGCTTGTGGAGTCCTCTCCTTCTGATTAGGGCTGTCTGTTTGACTCATATTGATCAATGTAAAGCCATAGAAGTGACACTGTCTGCCATTCAAAGGTAGGTCCTATGATGCCATACACCTTCTCCATGAGCCTTTTGGAAGGCTTTCTTTGGTGAAAGCCAGTCACCATTTATTAAGTCCCAGAACCATGAGACTCTCATGATTTAAGGAAATCAGTGTCATGAATGGGAAGGTGAGGTAGTGAAGGAGATAGCTCACCAGCTTCTAGGTGTTCACCTAGTCCTGGTGTTGAGTTGGACATGAGTGAGGCATCCTCTGAAATCCCAGCCTCAAAGATCTCTCAGAAAACGTGACTCCCGTCACATGATTTACCACTCACTTAAGTTCAGTAAACCTGTAAAGCTGGGAGAGATAAAAATAAATGATTGCTTTTAGCCAATATGTGTTGTGAGGTTTGCTGTGCTGCAATTCATCGCTGGAAAAGCAGCAAATAAGGGTCTGCTCACTGTGTCAATGTACATGACTTGTGTCTATTCCAATAATAATCTATGTGTTCTCTGATCTCAAATCATGACCATTTATTTCCAAAGAGAAACCCCTGGATTCTCCACACATAAAGTGAAACCATCTTCAAATATTTGAAAATAAGAATAATTGGGATTCTTTAAGGGAAATCACTGGGCTCCAGTGATTCTCTAAACTATTACTTGGGTTGAAAACTTCACATGCAAAACTTGTCATCTTTTTTTTCCAGTTCCTTCGTAGCAGCCCACACAAAGCCAGGCACAGTGTTCATACACAGTAAGCATCCTGAGAACAATGGAAAAAATTAAGAAATTTTACATAATTTTCCTCAAGTTACAGATTTCCCCCAAAGCCACCACGTACACCTGTGTGGCTGTAAACAGCTACCTAACATGTAAGTGCCATGAGTCATTTGAGATTGGGTAAGTGTTTTAGTTCAGACTGTCTGATGTCAACTACGTGCTATAGAAGGATGCTGTTTCTAATGTCTTCTCAGACATTCCAGGGACCTTGTCACTCACTCCCTTTGTCACAGGAAGGTTTATCCCCTTTGATTTCCTGATGCCTCCCATAGAATGCCCTGGCCCCCCTTGGGGATGACCACATCCTCTTTCCCCCTCTTAAAGCAAGAACCAAATCATGTGAGTTTTCGTGCTATTTTAATGACCAAGTGGAGGGGAAATTGTGAGGAGGAATTATTCTGTTAGCAGGCTCTGGGAATCCCATGGTCAGGTAGAAAGAGGGATTCTTCAACAAGAGGGATTCTTCACATGAGGGAGTGTGATCATCTCCCTCAATTGCAGACACACACTGAGGTCAGGGAGACATCTCTGGACACTTGCATCATCTTCACAAATGATGGCGGGATTCGATGGACAAAGCCATAAATGCGTATGCCATTGACCTTTATCTACAAGAGGAAAAATGCATCAGAAAGACAGCATGCCACCAAACCAGTTTTCAGCCTCCTCTCCACTCTGCCCTAGTACCAATAACATTCCCCAAGAAAACCCCTCGTTATGCAAGTTAACGTATTAGATACACTTCTGTTTACAGATGACATTTTGTGCCTATTTGAGACAGTAGCTGATTTTATTTCTAATGTTTCCTCTCATTCCTCTAGTGAAGTTCTAAACTCTGTGTCACAAAGTCTCTGCTTACTCAGCCTCCCTTCTAACCTGGAAGTTACCCGTTGCCAGGGACTGTGTCTCAGGAACTTGAGACCCTGCATCTCACACAGCACCTGCCACAGGGTTAGTGCTAGGCCATGTTCATTGAAATGCATACTTTTCAGTTCCATGAACTGTGATTGCTTTTCACTACTGATGGCACAGTTTCTCTTTGGAGTAACCTACATCTGACGTATTAGTGGCAAAGAAGTAAACCCAGTGTTCTTATAGAATGAAAGGAGAACAGTTCTTGTAAAACAGGATATTACCTTCAACAACTTCTAAGCATAGGAAAAGATCCCTCGCTTGAATCTGAATAAGATGTGAATGTTTTGGTCTACTCGTTAGAGAAAGCCAGGAAGTATGGATATATTCTTTATATTGAGGCTATGGAGAAAGTCACCTTATTAGTATTAATTTTTCAAATTTGAAATGCACACATTTTTAAAGCCAGTATTTTCATTTTTTTGTAATTATCTTCTAGTAAAAGTATTGGGAGGTTGGTAATGACAAAAGGATTGATTAGAAAACTTAATACAGCATCATTTGTGAGAGCAAAATACTGGAAAGAAATTTAATGCCCCCAAAAGGGCCAGGTTCAACAATTTTGGGTAAACTTTTTAATGCAATATTATGCAGTCTTTAAAATCTGAAGCAGCATCATAGATTGACAATGTCTTCGAGATATATTCTTTGGCAACAAATCAACTTAGTTCCTGAAGCGTAATGTGTAGAGCAACTTATACCAGGATTTGCTTAAAAACAAATGAAATCATAGACATATCTATATGCTTCCATAAGCAAAAAAATTCCTCTGAAGGGCTAGGCACAGTGGCTTAAGCCTGTAATCCCAGTATATTGAGAGACCGAGTTGGGCAGATAACTTGAGGTTGGGAGTTCAAGACCAGCCTGGCCAAAGTGGTAAACCCCCGTCTCCCCTAAAAATACAAAAATTAGCCAGGTGTGCTGGCACGCACCTGTAGTCCCAGCTACTAGGGAGGCTGAGTCAAGATTATTGTTTGGATCCTGGAGGTGGAGGTTGCAGTGAGCTGAGATCATGCCACTGCACTCCAACCTGGACAACAAAATGAGACTCTGTCTCAAGAAAACAAACAAACAAATAAACAAACAAAAAAACCGTCTTTGAACGAAAGCAGAGCTCTGATAGTGTTTTTCCTATGAGTAGAATTCGGGCCCCAAAATGAGACAAAGACTTAATTTTTGACTGATTTAAACAACTTTTTTTAAATCTTTTTTTTTTTTCTGAAGTATATTGTATTCACTCAACTAAATGAAAATTTAAATAATGGCATAAGTAGAAATGAGCACTATGTGAAAAGACAGAGGAGATTCTCAACTTTGGGGGAAATGTCAGGTGAACTGACCTTGACATTGGTCAGATTTGGGATAGAGCTGAGGATGGCACTGCAAGCAGGGGGTGTTCTGTGATGAAAACCAGGGGCAGGAGTAGTTATGGGAGATGGACGCGGAGGGACTGCTGAGGCCAGGTCAATGAGAGCTGCCTCCCGTTTTGGGATCCCACAGAGGCTGGGTGCTGGGAGCTCCTGGGGTGCTCACCTGGTATTCATTGTAACACGGAGATGCACAGCTCAAACGGTTTGCCATCCTCAAAGGGCACATAATCTGTTGTCTCCTCCAACATCCATATCCCAAACTCACGCCTGTTCATGACCACGTGATTGCCAAAGTGCACTCGGAAACGGAAGGCAATATCTGAGTCCTCATCCATGTCAGTGTAGAAATCCACCTGCAGCTGTGGGTCGTTGCTGAGGGCAATGATGCTTCAGCTCCTCGTGCCCCCAGCAGGGAGATTCTGTGCTCCTCATCCCCAGATGAAAACTGAGTCACAGTTGCTGACCTGGGCCTATGACTTGTTTATTCCCTGAAAATTCGATGCCCCTTGATAAAGAGCCACAGCCCCAACCCACTGAGTGTCCTCCTTCCCTAGGCCCTGTGGCTGGCCCACATGCAGTTGCTACAGGTCTCATGCCTGGTGCTGGAGGGACTCCAAGGACCGGCACCTGTATGGGGCTTCCATCCTGCCAGCTAGACATTTCCACATCACCTACACATAAGGTCAAGCCCTCAGCAAATATTCTCCCTTCTTCTCCAACCCCTCCATTGGACCATGGAGTACTCACATAAAAGAGTCGATTGGTGTCCCTTTGATTATCACGCAGGAACCAACAGACAAAGACACAGGCAGTTTGTATGGCACCTGCCAGAGTATTGAGAGTAAGTGAGAGGTGCAGGGTCAGGTGCAGTCTCCCCTCCTGAAACATATTCCCATAGTGCAGGAGGTTAGAGATGAAAGGGAGGCTCTGTGGACTCTCCCCTTTCAGCCTACCACAGTCAGGGCCCCATATTCCTGAAGATATGGTGGACCCATAGTTAAGAATAAGCGTTCAGGAGCCAGGATGCCTGGATTCCGGTTGTCATTCTGCCTTTTACTAGCAGTGCAATCTTAGATTTGTTACTTGAACTCTTCCATCCCCATTTTCCCTAGGACAAGGAGAATGATCAGGAATTTCTACTTTGTAGGATGTTTTCCGTAATAGAGAGTTAATACATGTAAAAGTGTTACCCTAATCCCTGGCATGTGTAGGGCCTCTTAGGGGTGACCTAACAGAACAGGGGAGTCCTCCTGAAACACTGACCTGCCTTCATTCTCAACTCTGAAAATTAAAATAGGACTTGTAAATGTAAGAATGTAAACATTCACTCCAGTGGGAAACAACACTTGTTGAAAGAGAGAGAAATGATGAAAGAACAGGAAACCCTTGGGTGTGGGAGGCAAATGCATCGCAATCATCAAGGGAAATGGACGTCCTTCCCAGAAGGGGCACACATTGCTGATAGCACGGCCCCAGTACTTGCACAAATGAAGCCTGTGGGTCAGGGATGTGACTGGAGGGAATGATTGATTTCTACGATGACTACAAGTGGTTGAGATGATTTTTCTGTACTTTTGAGATAGGTTCTTGCTCTGTCGCCCAAGCTGACATGCAGGGGTGCAATCATGGTTCACTGAAACCTCAAACTCCTAGGCTGCAGTGATCCTCACACATCTGCCCCCTCTTGAATAGCTGGGGAGAAAGGTGCCTGCCACTCTGCCAGTCGAATATTTAAAGTTTTTTAAAGAAAGGGTCTCACTATGATGCCCAAACAGGTCTCAAACTTCTGGCCTCAAGTTATCCTCTCATCTTTGCCTCCAAAATTGGTGGGATTATAGCCATGAGTCAGTGAACCCAGCTGCTTGATTGAGTAATATCCACCATAAGCTCCTTCTGAACTGAGACTTAACTTGTTCTTTCACGGGTGGAGAACAAGTTTAGTCTCAGTTCAGATAGAGCTTACAGTGGATACTTTACGTGATTCAGTCTCTGAAACCATGGCCTCTAATGTCCTTTCCTAGCAAACCAGTATCTGCACACCCTGCTGTCCCACAATGGGAAGAACTGGATGGACTGGGGACAGGTAAGCTGAGCCTGGAAGACAAGAACAGTGGTCACTCTGTGCAGACCCCACCTGAGGAACCATCACCCCCATAGTCTGCATTCCTCTTCTCCACTCTTACTGGGAAGAGACATCTACTGACCATACATTCTGCTCTCACAAGTGATCTGAAACAAGTCCTTGGTAACTCACAATCCCCAAGATCCCCACCAGTTAAGCCACCTGGGATTCACATCAGAGGTGCTGCTGTGTGGGGAGAAACATTCACGTGTGCAGAAAGCCACATGCATGATCCTACTTCAACACACAGTCACATCCCAGCACACACACACACACACACACACACACACAGAGTCACACAGAGCCATGCCACTCACTGAGTCACACACACCTGCTCACTGTGCACATAACGATGCTCATGCACTGGTCTGGCTGTGCTCACACACATATTCACATCATAGACAGGAAACAAAGCCCACTCACTCCCTTACTCTCCATTCACACACGTGCTCATCCTGGGGGGTCATCCACCTCCCACTTAAAGTCACATCATCTCAGCAGAGTTTACTCTCATCAGACATCACCTCATGCTCATAGAGGGTCACACTGGTCCAGGGTCCACACCCGAAGCCCCACAAGTGTCACAGATAGCATAGCCTCAGGGTTTCTATTCCACACATCATTAACTCTGAGTAAAGCATTCACAGGAGAAATGCTCATATTTTCTTCTCAGAAAATCTCCCACTTCCTTCTTGGTTTCTGTGACACGAAATTTTTGAAGGCTCTGCCTTTTCAACTCACAGGTAAAGAGGACATTGTTCTCTCCTTCTGGGCGACCTTCAGAATTGAGTCCAGTCTTCTGAGTGAATCTCTGAGTTGCAGCATTTAAATGACTCACTTCAGCCTTGCCCTCTGGCTTCATAGGTCCCCGTGGGTGTTGTTCTCCTCTTGGTGTCCATGAGTCTCATCATTTAGTTCACTCTTATAAGTGAGAACATACCGTATTTGGTTTTTTGTTCCTGCATTAGTTTGCTGAGAATAATGACTTCCAGCTCCATCCATGTTAATGCAAAAGACATAATCTCACTCGTAGGACTGCATAGTATTCCATTGTGTACATATACCACATTTTCTGTATTTAATCTGTCCTTGATGAGCATTTGGGTTCATTCCATGTCTTTGCTATTGTGAATAGTTTTGCAATGAACATTCATGTGCCTATGTCTTTATGGCAGAATGATTTCTATTCTTCTGGGTATACACCCAGTGGTGGGATTGCTGGGTTGAACGGTAGTTCTATTGTTAGCTCTTTGAGGAATCACCACACTGCTTTCCACAATGGGTTAACTAATTTACACTGCCACCAACAATGTTTGAGTTCTCCCTTTTCTCCACAACCTTGCCAGCACCTGTTCTTTTTTGACTTTTTAATAACAGCCATTCTGACTGATATGAGATGGTATCTCATTGTGGTTTTGATTTGCATTTCTCTAATGTTCAGTGATACTGAGCTTTTTTATATGCTTGTTGGCCACCTGTATGTTTACTTTTGAAAAGTGTCTGTTCTTGTCCTTTGCTCACCTTTTTTGTTTTAAAACAGGTCTCACTCTGACGCTCAGGTTGGAGTGATGTGGCACCATCTTGACTCACTCTAACCTCTGGCTCCTAGGCTCAGGTGATTTTTCTCAGCTCAGTCTCCTGAGTAGCTGGGACTACAGGTATGTGTCACCATGCTAGGCTAATTTTTTTCCATTTTTGGTAGAGATAGGTTTTTGCCATGTTACCCAGCCTGTTCTCAAATTCCTGGACTCAAGTGATCCACCAGCCTTGGTTGCCTGAAGTTCTGGGATTACAGGCATGAGCCACTGTGTTGAGTTCTTTACCCACTTTTTTATGGGTTTGTTTGTTTCTTTCTTGTAAAGTTGTTGACATTTCTTATAGACGCCCAGATATTAGACCTTCTTCAGATACATAGTTCGAAAATATTTTCTCCCATTCTTTAGGCTGTCTGTTTACTCTCTTGATAGTTTCCTTCACTGTGCGAAGCTCTTTAGTTTAATTAGATTCTGTTTGTCAATTTTTGATTTTCTCCTAACTGCCTTTGACATCTTCATCATGAAATCTTTGCTCATGCCTATGTCCTGCATGGTATTGTGTAGGTTGTCTTCCAGGGTCTTCATAGTTTTGGGTTTTACATTTAAGTCTTTAATCCATCTTTTGTATATGGTGTAAAGAAGTGGTCCAGTTTCAGTCTTCTGTATATGGCTAGCCAGTTCTCCCAGCACCATTTCTTGGATAGGGAGTCCTTTTTCCATTGCTTGTTTGGTCAGCTTTGTCAAAGATCAGATGGTTGTAAGTGTATGCCTTATTTCTGGGCTCTCCAATCTGTTCCATTGGTCTGTGTGTCTGTTTTCATACCAATACCATGCTGTTTTAGTTACTGTAGCCTTGTAGTACAGTTTGAAGTTGGGTAATTTGATGCCTCCAGTTTTGTTCTTTTTGCTTAGAATTGCCTCGGTTATTTGGCTTTTTTTTTTTTTTTTTGATTCCGTGTGAATTTTAAAATGGTATTTCCTCTAATTCTGTGAAGAATGTCATTCATAGTTTGATACAGATAGCGTTGCATCTGTATATTTCTTTGGGCACTATGGCTGTTTTAATGATATTGATTTTTCTTATCCATAAACATGGAATGTTTTTCTATATTTATGTCATTTCTGGTTTCCTTAAGCAGTGTTTTGTAATTCTCGTTGTAAACGATCTTTTACCTCCCTGATTAGCTGTATTTTTAGGTATTTTTTTAAGTCAAATTTGAATGGAATTGCATTCCTGATTTGTCCCTACCTGTCACTGTTGTTAGCATATAGGAGTTCTAGTGATTTTTGCATATTGATTTTGTATCCTGAAACTTTGCTAAAGTTGTTTATCAGCTTAAGGATCTTTTGGGTAAAGACTATGGAGTTTTCTAGATATACGATAATGACATCCACAAACAAGGATGGTTTGACCTTTCTTTGTATTTAGACACCCTTTCTTCCTCTCTCTTGCGTGATTGCTCTGGTCAGGCCTTCCAATATTATGTTAAACAGAAGTGAGGAGAGAGGGCACTGAAGAAATTATGGTTTGAAAATCCTAGTTTGGCCGGGCGCAGTGGCTCAAGCCTGTAATCCCAGCACTTTGAGAGGCCGAGACGGGTGGATCACAAGGTCAGGAGATCGAGACCATCCTGGCTAACACAGTGAAACCCCGTCTCTACTAAAAAATACAAAAAACTAGCCGGGCGAGGTCGTGGGTGCCTATAGTCCCAGCTACTCAGGAGGCTGAGGCAGGAGAATGGCATAAACCCGGGAGGCAGAGCTTGCAGTGAGCTGAGATCTGGCCACTGCACTCCAGCCTGGGTGACAGAGCGAGACTCCGTCTCAAAAAAAAAAAAAAAAAAAAAAAAAAAAGAAAAAATCCTAGTTTAATTTCTGCTTTATTCATCATGGAGATTTTGTCTATTGTCTATCAAATACAAAAGAAAACCAAACTAAATTCCTCTCTTACTCTGTCATATTGGCCCCTCACTGGCCACTGTATTTACAGGGCCTAATGCACCAATGTTGAGCACCACGGACAGGGCCACAGGGGCCACAGCTTTGAGGGACTTGGGCACCAAGGACAATATTATCACCGAGTAGATTTATTCTGCGGGAGGCTTCAACAAAAACTAAAAAGCCTAAATACCTTTGAGAATGAAGGCTTTAGAGTCCAATAATGACTTTCTATGTTTTGAGCAATGCCGTATTTGCTGGGAGAAGATCAGGAATTTTGGTTGAGGAGTATGAAAATGATGTTGAGTAGGTCTCCAGAGGCAATTCAAAAATTTTTTGTCGAACATTAGTCCCTGAACTCTATGTCATCTCTTTGTATCTGAGATTTCGTCCTGCCCACCATGAGCAAAAGGTATTATCTGAGATAAAAATGAGTGTAACAGATGACCCGTGTGAGCTGAATGATAAAGGGGATATCACCACTGACCCCACAGAAATACAAACTACCATCAGAGAATACTATAAACACCTCTACGCAAATAAACTAGAAAATCTAGAAGAAATGGATAATTTCCTGGACACTTACACTCTCCCAAGACTAAACCAGGAAGAAGCTGAATCCCTGAATAGACCAATAGCAGGCTCTGAAATTGAGGCAATAATTAATAGCCTACCAACCAAAAAAAGTCCAGGACCAGATGGATTCACAGCCGAATTCTACCAGAGGTACAAGGAGGAGCTGGTACCATTCCTTCTGAAACTATTCCAATCAATAGAAAAAGAGGGAATCCTCCCTAACTCATTTTATGAGGCCAACATCATCCTGATACCAAAGCCTGGCAGAGACATAACAAAAAAAGAGAATTTTAGACCGATATCCCTGATGAACATCAATGCAAAAATCCTCAATAAAATACTGGCAAACCGGATCCAGCAGCACATCAAAAAGCTTATCCACCATGATCAAGTGGGCTTCATCCCTGGGATGCAAGGCTGGTTCAACATACACAAATCAATAAACGTAATCCAGCATATAAACAGAACCAAAGACAAAAACCACATGATTATCTCAATAGATCCAAAAAAGGCCTTTGACAAAATTCAACAGCCCTTCATGCTAAAAACGCTCAATAAATTCGGTATTGATGGAACGTATCTCAAAATAATAAGAGCTATTTATGACAAACCCACAGCCAATATCATACTGAATGGGCAAAAACTGGAAAAATTCCCTTTGAAAACTGGCACAAGACAGGGATGCCCTCTCTCACCACTCCTATTCAACATAGTTTTGGAAGTTCTGGCTAGGGCAATCAGGCAAGAGAAAGAAATCAAGGGTATTCAGTTAGGAAAAGAAGAAGTCAAATTGTCCCTGTTTGCAGATGACATGATTGTATATTTAGAAAACCCCATCATCTCAGCCCAAAATCTCCTTAAGCTGATAAGAAACTTCAGCAAATTCACAGGATACAAAATTAATGTGCAAAAATCACAAGCATTCTTATACATCAGTAATAGACAAACAGAGAGCCAAATCATGAATGAACTTCCATTCACAATTGCTTCAAAGAGAATAAAATACCTAGGAGTCCAGCTTACAAGGGATGTAAAGGACCTCTTCAAGGAGAACTACAAACCACTGCTCAGTGAAATAAAAGAGGACACAAACAAATGGAAGAACATACCATGCTCATGGATAGGAAGAATCAATATCATGAAAATGGCCATACTGCCCAAGGTTATTTATAGATTCAATGCCATCCCCATCAAGCTACCAATGACTTTCTTCACAGAATTGGAAAAAACTGCTTTAAAGTTCATATGGAACCAAAAAAGAGCCCGCATTGCCAAGACAATCCTAAGTAAAAAGAACAAAGGTAGAGGCATCACGCTACCTGACTTCAAACTATACTACAAGGCTACAGTAACCAAAACAGCATGGTACTGCTACCAAAACAGAGATATAGACCAATGGAACAGAACAGAGTCCTCAGAAATAATACCACACATCTACAGCCATCCGATCTTTGACAAACCTGAGAGAAACAAGAAATGGGGAAAGGATTCCCTATTTAATAAATGGTGCTGGGAAAATTGGCTAGCCATAAGTAGAAAGCTGAAACTGGATCCTTTCCTTACTCCTTATACGAAAATTAATTCAAGATGGATTAGAGACTTAAATGTTAGACCTAATACCATAAAAATCCTAGAAGAAAACCTAGGTAGTACCATTCAGGACATAGGCATGGGCAAAGACTTCATAAAACACCAAAAGCAACGGCAGCAAAAGCCAAAATTGACAAATGGGATCTCATTAAACTAAAGAGCTTCTGCACAGCAAAAGAAACTACCATCAGAGTGAACAGGCAACCTACAGAATGGGAGAAAA